TAGAGTCGTATTAGACTTAAACTAGGTCAACATGGATAAATAAAAAATGATGGGGGTGGGTCTGACTATTCAAGAGATCAGGGCCCTTATTCCTTCTTGGGATTGTAAAGTTGAGGATCTCCTCACCATTTACTTGGGCATACCTTTGGGCTTGGGGAAGCCGAAAAAGAGACATTGGGCTCAAGTCATCGACAAAGTGGATAGACGTCTGGCAGGCTGGAAAGGGAGATATCTCTCTGTGGCTGGCCGTTCAACGCTGGCCAAAGCAATACTGGCCAACGCCCCGGTCTACTTAATGTCCATCTTCCACATGCCAGCCTTGGTGGCTAACAGGCTGGATCAGCTTATGAGGAATTTTCTATGGTCAGGTCAAGCGAAAAAAACCAGACATCACCTTATCTCGTGGGATAGAGTCCGGCTACCCAAATCACAAGGTGGTCTAGGAATCAGAGACCTTAAAAAACACAACCTGGCTCTGCTAGGGAAATGGTGGTGGAGATTGGCCACCCAACCTAATTCTATCTGGGCACAGGTCATTCATAACAAATACAGGATTCCGGAACACAAGTGGGTGCCTGACAGGACCTCTCGCAACTGAGCCTCTGGAGCCTGGAAATCCTTTGCCTCCTCTCTTGCTCTTTTCAACCAATCTATCTGCTTCCATCCTAAAGAAGGCACTAGAGTTGCACTTTTGGTCTGATCTCTAGATTGGACACTCCCCCTCTTAGGGACTTCTTCCCCTCTCTCTTTTACCTCTCCTCCAACAAAGACTCAACCATAGCAGCTGAAATGGTCTTTTCAGGGGGCCGAAGAACCTGGAATCCCTCCTTTAGAAGAAACCTTTCCGAAGAGGAAACGTCACTCTTCACCTCCTTGTCGGCTGCCTTAACCCAATTTTCTTATCTCCATATGGGAGAGATTCTCTGGTATGGACTCTCTCTTCGTTTGGAAAATTTTCAGTAGCCTCTTTCTACAATAAACTTATTCAACCCCCTACTTACCCACTTAACCTTGTCTGTATCCTATCCAAAGTTTGGTCCACTATTGCTCCACCAAAAGTCCAAACTTTCAATTGGATTGCCTGCTGTCAACGGGCTCTCACAGTCGACCAGCTTAAAAAAAGAGGCATTTTGCTCCCCAATAGATGTGCTATGTGCTTGAATGAGGAGTCGAACCTCATCTTTTCTTATACTGCAGTCAAGCCTTTGAACTGTGGAGCCTTATTCTTGAGTTGTTCCATTTCCAATGGGTCCACCCTCGGTTATGGCTCTCATCTCCTCCTACTCAGGTTGCCATTGGCCTAAGGCCGATAGAACTTTGTGGAAGTCAGCAATCGCTGCCACCATCTGGGCTATATTGCGAGAAAGAAATGGGTGGTTTTCCAAGGACACAAAAACGAAGTTCCTGTGCTATTTCAAAAGGTTACCTTCCTAGTAACTTTTTGGGCTTCTACCCACAGGGACTTTGTAGGGATCCCCACTATTACCTTCCTCAGTCAGTGGGAGAATATCATTCACCTCCAACCCCACAAGAACCAAAGACCTCACAATTGACAGCCCTCGCCAGAAAATGGCATTAAACTCAACTTTGATGGTTGTTTGTTGGGGGAACCCAAGCCCATCAAGGAGCTGGAGGGGGTTTTCTGTGATCACAACCGCAATATCCTCCTAGCCTACTTGGAATATGTGGGACTGGGAGACTCCCAATTTGCTGAAGCTTTGGCATTGCTTATGGGGCTCAAAAGTTTTAACCTTTCATGGGCCGACTTTTGGTGGTTGAAGGAGATGCTCAAAATATCATCTCTTGGGCAGAAGGCACTACTTCTTCGCCTTGGTACCTTTCCAGGATTTTTGATGAAATTTACCACATATGCAGGGATATGAACGTCTAATGGACGCATACTTGGCGGGCATCGAACGAGCTCGCCAATCTTTTAGCTAAAGACGGAGCACGAGCACGTGTGGAAGACCCCAACCGGTCCATCTCCTTTTTTGCTCTGGACCATAGAGGGTATCTAAGACCGTAGTTAGCCTTTATCTTCATCTTGTACTCAAGCTTTCTTATAAGCCCCATTTTTTGCTGCTCAATTTTTTTGTAACCAGGCACGTGACAAGGCCAATTTTTTGTATAGGATCCCTGGACCTATTTTTTGACCAAGATACCCGTCTCGTGGGTACTCTCGGTCCTCTATCTCCGCTAACAGTTGTACTCTTTCTTCATATAGCAATACAATGTTAACATTATCAAAAAAATAAAAATAAAAAAACTAGGCAATGGTCACCGTATTAAGTTTTGGACTGACATTTGGATAGGTCACACCCATTTGAATATTACCTTTCCTCTCTTTATTCTTTGGCATGCAATCAATCGGCTTCTAGAGCTGAATATGTAGAACTTGGCGTGTTCAATCTAGTTTGGACTCCCATTTTCCGCAGAAATCTCTCAGAGCAGGAAACTACCTCTCTGACCTCCTTACTCCAACTTTTGCATCCAGTCTTCAGTGGTCTCAACCGTCCAGATGCCCTTATTTTGGCTGAATTCCCTTCAAGGAGCTTCGTAGTGTCCTCTTTCTACAATTTAATGCTTTGAAACCCACCTGCCAACCCTTGATCAACAAGTCTTGGTCCCTTCCTATACCCCTTAAAGTTCAGGCCTTCATTTGGGTGCTCCTTTTCTGGAAAACCCTAACCCTTGATCAATTGCAACGTCGTGGAGTCTCCTTCTCTGGCATCCAGAAGAAGAACCTATTCCACATTTATTTATCCACTGTGATCTCACCTTTGGCCTTTGGTCATCCCTTTTGAACCTCTTTGATCTTCTTTGGGTCACACCTTTTTGAGTCTCTGTACTCCCCCACTTTCTCCTCCCCTGGAAAACAACTGTGGCGTATATCAATTGCGACCCTTATGTGGAGTGTTTCGTTAGAAAGAACGCAAGGACATTTAGAGGCGTTCTTAAACCACCAAAGTCCATTTTTTATACTATTGCATCCCTAATTTCCTTCTGGGCCAAAAACATACATATCTTTGCAAAGCTCCCTATTTCCCACTTCCTGAATAATTGGGCCAGCTTGCTTAACCTGTCACCCCCATCGGTTAGACCTCGGGCTGTTTGGGTACCACCACCTCCGGGTTTTCTAAAATTAAGCACAGATGGCTCGTCCTTAGGAAACCCCGGCCCCTTTGGTATTGGTGGGTTCCTCTCAAACTCAGACTCAATTCTCTGGACTTTCTCGGAGTTCATAGGAGTTAGAGACTCCACGGAAGCAGAGGCCATTGCTCTACTGGAAGGATTAAAAAGGTGGCGCTTATGGAACATTTTAGCTAAGGAAGGTGCGGCTTTGGGTGCAGGTACTCTGCCAATTCCTTGTTACATTACGGCTGTCTCTCTCCCTCTATTCTCTCTCTCTTCCCATCCACCTAAGGAAGGTGCGGCTTTGGGTGCAGGTACTCTGCTAGTTCCTTGATACATTACGGCTGTCTATCTCCCTCTTATTCTCTTTCTCTCTTCCTTATTCGAAGTATTTGCAGAAGCCGCACCCAAGTTCACACTCATTTACCGAGAAGCCAACACAGTGTCAGACATTTTAGCTAAGGAAGGTGCGGCTTTGGGTGCAGGTACTCTGCCAGTTCCTTGATACATTACGGCTGTCTCACTCCCTCTTATTCTCTTTCTCTCTTCCCATCCACCCTCTGCTCCAAAAAAAAAAAAAAACAAAACAAATTCGAAGTGTTTCTACCTTCTTACTTTGAGGTGTTGGAAAAGAAGAAACATCTCATCCTATTCTTTCTCTCTCCTTCTAAATACTTTGAGGCATTCGAAATGATGAAATTTCTCATCTTCTCCTTTCTCACTCTCTCATTTTCTGATACTCATTTCCATTCCCTCCCTTCTTCTTGTGTTTTTACCCTTAACATCTTTTCACCTCTTTCTCTACCTTTTTCTCTGTACTATGCTCTCACTTCCCCACCCCCTCTCCAATGCCTCGTAATTTCTGGTCTGTCTTAAACAGGTTACCTTAATTACCTTCATCACTCTCCCCTCCATCTCTCACCTCTTGCTATCCATTTCACTCCTTTCTCAGTCTTTAAGCTTTATCTTATCTTCTTCTGCTATCTTTCTCTCTTTCTTAGACCTCTCCTTCATTTCTATCTCTTCCTTCCCCCTTTCTCTTCATTCTCCTCGTCTAACTCTCGTTCACGAGAATTTCTGGTAATTCTCAGATCCCAGCACCCTTACTTTTAGATCTACGCTCATTCACGGTCGTTACAATGGCCCATAGCCTTGGGTTACACAACTACCTTTCGATTTACGGTGCGATGGTCCTCAGCAGGAGCAGAAGCTTTAGATTGATATCAGTACATTGGCCCCTATCAGAAGCAGAAAGTTGTTTTTAGTGGCAGACCATCTCTGATACATCCCAACTCACCTCCCAATTCAATTCAATGGTAGTGGGCCTCTTGATTGGGTAGCTTAGTGGTATAACCTGTTTACCACTTCTCTCCAGGGTTACAATGGTAGTCACTGATTACTCTGTCTGGCTGCTACTAATCTCACGGTAGTGGGTCTCCTCTTCGGGTTGCATGGTGGCGAAACCGTTTAGCATTTCTTCTCAGGGTTACAATGTTACACACTACCTACTCTGCCTGGTTGTTGCTTACTTCACCGTTCATCAGTACTCCGAATTATCATCCTCTCACCTTCTGGTGGTTCCCAGTCTGCTAGAAGGCGTTGATGTCTGAAGCCCTCTGAAGATTCTCCTTGTCCTTTTTGTTTTTATTTTTATTTTTGTTCTTATTTTTTGTTTTTTGTTTTTTTTCTTCCTGTTCTGTTTTCTAAGGTTGTAAGTGCACCCTTCTGTGGGTTGCTTCTTTGGATAGTTTTAGTTTATGTAATTCTTTAGCTTATATATAATACACGTCAACATATTCCTCAAAAAAATAGAAGAAGCTATTAAACGCCACCTTTTTGAGAGAAAGTAGTGAGGACTGTTTTCTCAGGTTTCATGGGGAACGTGACTGTAAGCAGAAGCGAGGCCATGGCGGTGACAAACTCTGACCCAAGAAAAATTACAGAGAAGCAGCCATTGATGACCCAAACTCTTTCTTCCGTTGAGCCCAAGCCTAAGGCTGAGGAGCCGTCAAAGAGAAAGAAGATTTGTTGTGCTTGCCCTGATACAAAGAGACTGAGAGATGAATGCATAGTCGAACATGGTGAAGCTGCATGCTCGAAGTGGATTGAAGCTCATTTACAGTGCCTTAGAGCGGAGGGTTTTAATGTAAGTGCTTATCTTTCTAGTGCTTCTTCTTTCATGTTGTGCATTTGGGCGACTTCAAGGTTTTATGGAAGTTTTAGGATTTTGAAGTGTGCTCTTCTTCTGATTCTCTTGTGTTCGTTTACAAGGGATGTTATGGTTTTCATCTATAATTTTTTGGTTGAAGAGGTTTTATGGTTTAGAGGCTAGAAGTTTCCTATTTCTATCTTAAATGATCAGAGATGTTATGGTTTTATTTTTTTTATTTGTTGATGTTTTGAGCTGTCATGGAGATACCTTTTACCTGCTCCTAGTATGTTAATGATCTACTTAAATATGTACTTTATGTGTTTATGTTCTAGAGTTTATGCTTGATCTTTCTTCTTCTTCTAATTCTTCTTTTGTGTGAATTTGGGGGTTGCATGTTCCTTGCCTAAGATGTTTTAGGGTTCAAGGAAAGTTCACCTTCGTCTATAATCCCTTTGTGGAGAACTTTGGGTTTTTTAGTTTCTTTTTGCATAGGGGAGTCCAAGGTTTTCTTCATGGTTCTATTTGTAGAGATGTAAAGGTTAACATCAAAAGTTTGTTTTGTTCTTCTCATTTGTAACATTTTTCAGAATTTTTAGGATTTTGTATTTTCATTCATGAAAATGACTGTTGTTCTTTAGGTGGTAAGGGTCGTCCAATGCACGTGTTAGGTGCTTGTAACTTTATTATGGTTATTCATCAAACAGTGTATAGGCATCACAACTTTCTTGGACTATGCCCACCAGTAAACCCAAGTTAGAGAACCTATTCATTATTTCTTTTGCTATGTCGATGGGATTCGACCCTAAGGTGGAATCATGGCATCCTTCAATGGCAATACGGCAGCATTCATAAGATTTCTCCTCATTAAAGAATCATATATAAGATTTTCGCTAAAGTGTTATCTGAAGCTAAGTGAGGCCTTTAGTTTATGATCTTAGTTAGGTTCCAATTTTTCTGTGGACTAATTTGTCAGTCTCCCATGACCTGAAGCTAAATTTTGGCTTGGAATTTCACCTTTCTGAATCCACTTCCTAAAAAACTGTCATTTTTTTGGATCTAAACTAAGTTTCTTATCATCTAGAGAGTTGAACTAATCCTTGTCAGTCTAGTTCAGATGCCAAAGAAATGAACTCCCTACAATCCGGTTCCCACAAAAGGATGAGATCGATATATTTAAGTGATAAACCTGCTTTTAATCTGGTTTCACCTAAAAGATAGATACCAGATTCGAGAGGCCAAAGTCTATAGATGCATCCAAATTGATATTTAACTTTGAACTTGGGAGCAGATGATAGTTCACTTTTCTCGATGTATTGAATACCCTTGACTTATTATGATGACTTGCTATGAGAACCAAGATGTAATCATTTAGGCGAACATATAAAGCTAGTTTGGTTACACACCTCTTGAGTTAATGAGTGGCGTGCTCAAGAACTTGTCTAAAACTACAATTGCATTTATTGGTTTGCCTTCTAATTCATAATATTGTAATAAACATCGAGTGGAACGATGATTGTGATACATAGCCGTTTATCCCCGTAGTCACAATTGCATGGCAGTGGCCTATATTATCAGGATTGAACTGGCCACCGAACTGGTGAGGGGTCTAGGCCAGTCAAAATTGTTCTGTCCAAAAGTTTAAATGGTTGGAGGAATTTATAAAAAAAAAGCAAAATAGAAATAACAATTTAGAAGTTTGAAATCTGTTAAAAAAATTGCCCAACTTTATTTTGTTGGTTGAATTGGTCAAAATTAGTTGGTCCTATCGATCAAAACCTAACACTGGTTTTTAAGTCGTCCGACTGATCAGACTACAGAGTGGTGCCTTGCCAATCCAGTCCAAAGCATAAACTGAGTTTGGTATAAAATCAATCAGAATCACTGTTTGACTGGTTTTGTTGGGAAGGGCTGGTTGATTTTGATTAGTTTGACCAACTAAATAAAGTTGGGCAAAATTTTCTAATGTATTTTATTGCTTTAAACTGTTATTTCTATTTTTGTTTTATTATTTTTTAAATTTGGACTAACTTGTTCAGCCAACGGACGAACTAATTTTGACTGGACCAAACCCCTCATTGATTCTGTTGGCCGGTCTGATCCTAATATTCATAATATGTAATTGGGAGGGATGTTAAGTTAACTCAAATATTATATAGAAGCTAAAATAGGTACCTTGTGTGCACAATAAACTAGCGAACTCATTTATCCAAATTAAGCATACTCATATACCAAATTAATGAAGTTTTATGATGCCTTATATTGACTGAAGGATATACACACGAGCCATATATGTGCATTGGGGCCGAAATATAGCAGATGCGATGAGTATAAAGGAGAGAGAAAGCAATTTCATTAAAAGTATGTTAATTTTAGAAACAGAAGAATTAATTGAAAAAGGGAGATGAAAGAGTATGTATATGGACCAAAAAGAGGCAGTGTTACACATCATCACTAGTAGATGATGTATCAAACGATGATCAAATATGCTCTCATTTAAATACGTCACATGATATTAAAATGCATTTGGCATAGATATACAATGCCGGGTGTAAGGTTCGTCACGTTAAAAGTGAATGTAAGAAAAATAAAAGTGAGATCCACAAGGACCATATATGAATAGTGTCTAATTATGGTTTCATGATCATATATTGGATTACGATCCTAGGACCATAGTGGACCAAGTTGGTGATGGTCTGCAATAATTATTATAAAGTAGAATGCCATGTATATGATGATTGCCTATGTTGTGGGAAAGCCGAGTAGATTTATTGACAACCCTGGTCAAGAGCAATGAAATGTGGCCCATAAAGTTCTTAGATATTTTAAATGAACGATGGACTATGCCCTATGGCCTATGGCCTACATTATGAAGGTGAATTTGTTGTATTGTAAGGATACAACGATGCAAACTGGATGTCGAATTTCGATAAATTTATGTCTAGTCTTCACATGGTGGTTCTGTTGCATGGAGTTCCCAAGGAGCAAACTTGTATCTCTAGATTTGCATTTGGAATTAGAGTTAATAACGTTGGAAGCCTCCAGTATAAAGGCAAAGTGGCTAAGGATCCTATTGGTTGAAGACCTTTTGTTCAAGGGTCTATGCTTGCATTCTCAATAAATTGTGATTGTGAAATTATGGTATATTGAGAGGTGGGTTAGATACGGTGTTCCAAAATGCGCCTAGGCAATTAAGATGGTCTATGCTGCCCAACTTTTAGGCGGGCGCCTTGGGACTTGGGCGGCCCAAGTTCAGAAGGGGGTAAGGGGTGTTCAGTAATCTTGTTTTAGATCCAAATTTTGTATAAAAAATGCCTATTCATTCATTTTTTTTTATAATAAAAAGAAACCAAAAAAACCCACCCAATGGGTACTTTTGCACTGAGGCAGGTGCATGCCCTTGGGCTCCCACCCAGGTACTCTAAGCGCATGCCTCGGCAGGGTACTAGGTGGGCGTCCAAGGACAACCCACCTAGTTGGTTCACCCAGGCTTGTGCGATGTGCCCAGCCCCCTGTAGCCCTCCTAGGCGCTGGGCAGACAGCTTTTTGAATCAATTATTAGATCTATAGCGGCAAGTCATGACACATTCGCTTGAGGTATAATCAGTTGAGACCATTTGCTTGAACCCAGCGTAATTTCTGTATCTAAGTGGAACTTGGTGGATGCATTAACCGAAGGCCTTGTATGGGACCAAGTTTGATGACAACTAGATGAGTGGATTGAGTCTTATATGTGATAAGCCAAAGTGATGGGAATCCTACCTAAAAACAAGGAGATCCTAAACCCGAGGCTCAAAGGGAAAAATAAGGTATTTATGTGATGTCAGATGCATGAATGTTCCACAATATTATTTAATAGAAATTTTTAAATTTCTGCCTCTTATCTGGTTGTGTGGTACTGTTTACTGCAATGAATATAGCTCTTTAACGTCTCTCTGCGATTAGTTTACGATTTAAAGATGAAGACAATGCTATGCAATCATGATTAGAGAGGTGGATATCTTTGTATCGCTACCATCATTCCCAATCGAAAGGCAAAGCAATAATTATAGATTTTAAATGAGTTCTTGAGCATAGAAATCATTAACTCAATAGGTGTGTACTGAACTGGCTATTCCGAGGAGTACGTTTATATGTATTTGATTGCATCTAGTTCTCATACCAAGTTGGGGGAGTTCAATACTGTGAAGAAAGTGAGACCATTTCGTGCCCCCAAGTTCAAAGTTGAAGATCTGTTTGGGTCTTTCTGAAGACCTCAAACTCTATGGCTTTAGTAAGGGCGAGACCTGATAAAGTAGTGTTTATCACTCTAATATCTAGATCTTGTCCTTTAAGGCAAGCCAGATTGGGTCAACAAGGATTGTTTTAGTTCTTGGTTCACAGGAGACTCAGTTTCGATCAATGTTTTAAAAAAAATAGTTCAGTGACTCGGATCGGCCATCTGAAAAACCCCTACGAATCTGTGGTTCGGATTGATGGATCGGCAGGATTCAGTATTAAAAGAATTTCAAAAAATACTAAAGATCATTATAAATGAGTTTTTTGAGTTTTCAAGAAAAAGGAGGCAGTGCATCACAATTTTTTATTATCTTGCTAAAATATGTGAATGTTGAGATGCAGTTTCCTGTTTGAATGTCTGTTGATGATTCACGTTCACATTCACTTTTGGGATATGAATACATGGTCCATAATCGAGCATACAATTATAAAAATACAACCTAATACCAATAGAGTATTTTTTATGTATGAAATTTATACATTTATTGAAAAATATATTGAAACTTTTAAAATATAATTATGATTGACAATGTTTTAGAAAGATATAACAATTATAAATTTACAAATTATTCATTTGTATGAAATATGGGTGACAGGACCGCATTAGGTTTTGGTTAGACACCTGGCTAGGTGATGCCGCCCTCTCTTTAGCATAGCCCTCTTCATCATTGCATGGAATTAGGAAGCCCGAAGCCCTCATCAGGGATTACTATGAATTT